TCCCGCCGGGCCCGGCGTGGCGGCGCGCAGGCCCGTGCGCTGCCGGGCTGCTCCGGGGAGGCCGAGCCCCGGCACCAGGTGGGGTCCCCAACGAGGCCCTCAGCCGGCTTCCAGGCTCCTGTCATGGCCGGTGTTGTCGTAGGCAGGGCAGCGCCCTCGGAGGTAAAAAAAACCAACCAAAAACCCACCCTTGAAAATTACGATTCACCTCAGACTTTATGCGCACCAGGGGGGAGGTTGAGCATTTCCCCAGGCACAGCACTCTGGACTCAGTGTACTCAGCTGTGGCCAAACTCAGTCACTCGTAGCCCTCGGTGCTTTCTCTTCCCCCAAACTTCAGTTCCAGGATTAAAGTCTGGGTTTGGGTTAATGATTCCAGAACTGAGAGAAACAGTGGGCGGAGAGGAGAGGAGAGGAGAGGACGCTCACTGAAGTGCAGGGGAGCAAGCAGACCTCAATCCTGCTCTGTACTGGTGCATCAAACACCGACCCGTACACCCCAGCGGAGGGAAGGCTGGGCTTTGGCCGTTTCCCCAGCTTCCTACCTCCTGAAGGTGTCATGGTGTAGAGGGACCAGCTGAAACAGAAACTCTTTATACAGGTAAATTTAGGCTTGAGATACTAGAGACCATGTGTTGACAGAAAAAATGTGGCCCGTAGCGTAGTTTCTAAAGGAAGGTGTCTCTATATATCACTGTCCATAAAAGCCTCCTCTCTCTGCAGTAACTCTTGACCTGCTTGGACAATTAAGGGGTGAAAATTTAAGTTCCTTGACATTTTGTGAAAACAGGTAGAGGAAACAGCTAAGGAGACCTCACTAGGGGCAGGACTATCATATTATTTACATCCAGAGAATCCAGCTGGGCTAAAGTAGGAAAAAAGGAAACGTCATGAATTGATGGAAGTATTTATCAGTTACAACTGCAACAGGAGGTGGCATTTACATCTTATTTGAAGCTGTATTACTGCAAAGCCTTTGAGGCAGTTCCACAGTAATTGTAGACATCAGTGGGTTTATTGACCACACATAAACTAAAAGTCACTAAATCTTTGTCTCAAAGTTCTGGTGAATTATAGAGATAGTCTTTGGAGTTGGGCACGTCAGGACATGTTTGAAGCACGAGGATTAATTTCTACAGGCAGCTGTGAGTGGCGCAGAGGAAATGTGATTAACCACTCAGAACGTAACTAGGATACTTCTGTGGTGTAAAGTCCTGGGGGACTTGGAAATACCCATCGGTGCTCTGGAAATTAGTTATATGCCCTACCAAAAGAATAGGTTACAGGTTAGGTCACTGTGGAAGTTATGGTTTTCTTCCTAAACTAGAAACCTTTTTGCCTACATATTCCTGGCACATTCAGTGACTCTTACACAAGCCATTCCTGTCATTTTCTCTTAACGTTCGTGCCTTCTCTGGGGTGATGTGATCTTCGGGGTGGGGAATCCCTTTAAGGCTGTTTCTCTGCCTTTCCTCTGGGAGGATTTCGTTGCATGCATTTCAAAGAGCTGTTTAAAATGTCACTGCAGACTGACTGTAGGTCTCCCTTTGCCGCTAGGCAGACAGCAGCTTTGTTGTTTGGGGGAATCTGTTTTGAATCAGTTTCTTTCTGCTGCAGTGAATATTTCAGGGAGCTGGTTAACATCTCCTTTGAGTATGCTATTTACAAACAGATGTGGGCAGAACCCCAGGAGGGAGTTCTGGCAAAAGTACAGGACCTACGTGCCAGGAAAGACTGCAGCGTCACCCTTGCTGATCAGCACCCAGGGGACTGTTCTGCTCCAAAGATACAGATGGGTGTTAGCAATCTCTCTGCTGACCTTAGAGCCATGGTTTGAGGATAGAGATACAGTATCAGCGATTTAGGGCTCTGGCAGCCAAACTCTTATGAATCTTGATGCCCCAATTTAAGCTACAGCTGTCACTAGCTCCCTAGTGAGTGACATCCTCACAGGAGAGGCTGGAGGTAGAGGCACACACCAATGCCACAGCCGTGCCTACAGTGATGCTGGGCTGTGGCCTGGGTGGCAGAGGGGATGGCACACATTCCCTCCTGCCTTTCCCATGGGAGCGGAGCAGAGGAGGCAGCAATGCTGGAGCACCACATAACTGTGTGCTCTCTGAACATGAGGCAGAGCCCTTACAAAACCTCACAAGTCACCAGGTATTAACAAAGCTGGTCCAGGCACCAGCTGCAGCATCCCAGGAATCAATGCTCACTGTTGTCATGGCTGAACTGCTGTGGTCCTTTGAGGAGCCTCAAGCTACCCGCTGAGCCGTGTAGTCGCAAAGCCAATCGCAACGCTGTTACTCCTGTGTTGCCCCAGCCAGAGCATAACAGATGTGATTTGGCTGTAGCAAGGTCTTACGACTGTGTTCCTCCATGGGCTGGTGGGTGGGAAGAGGGGAGGAAAAGGAAACGGGAGAGATTTGGGACTCCACTCTGAGTTCTGCAGAAACCTATCAGCTCTTCTCGCTGTGCTGGACTTGGCTGCCCCCTGTGTGAGTCTAAAGTATATGTAAGGAACGCAGGAGTCGGTCGCTGGGCACAGTAATGGGGCGAGAGCAGGCACGCGGCCAGGAGTCTGAGATCTGTGTAAGGAGTCAAAGCTGTGACACATCCCAGCACTGAGAGGGCTCCACTTCGGTGCAAGGCAGAGAGGCAGTAAGTTGGGATTGACAGCCTTTTGACGAGGTAACTGACCTCCACCCACCCCTGTAAGCTGCTGGCCGGGACATTTTCTGGCACTGGAGCAGTACTGATTTGCCTCTTGTCTGTCCATGTTCCCTCTTCTCCCTGTCCCTCTCTCTCTTTCATTTGGCTGGGTTTCTCTCCTGTGTTTGTCATACTCAGACTGAATGTTACAGATCCAAAAAATGTCCCTTTGCTTCACTGAATCACTAAAATGACACGATTTTACAGCTGGATAGTTATTAATTCCGTAAGGAACTAGCAGTGCTTATATTATTTTGTAAATAAAACACAGTTGACAATGCATGAAAATAATGACTTCAGAGTTTTCAGACCTCCTGCTAAGTTGACTATTTTTGAGAAGTAAGGCTTTGCATTTTGGATCCTTTTTCAGGGAGTCTTTTAAAGTTTTCCTGTCTCATGAAGTGATGCTTTTTGCTGACCACACATCAAAATAATGTTTAAAACATCAATACTTAGAATATTCTCAGGGATTTGCTACATTCATTTAATTCCTGGCAACCAATATATCCCCAGTGCTGATAAACTAGAAAACTTGTAAATATCTTTGTACCAAGTGACACTGTAATCAGCCAGTAATTAATGCACGATTGCTGGATTATCTGTGCAACATCTTGGTCCATGCTGTTACTTCTGTATAGTCAGTCAGTAGCCAGAGCTGAAGTCCTTGGGTAGCATTCAGTGCCTCTCTGCTGTATAAGGCAACTGAAATGTGATCTACAAGATTAGCGGGGCTTGTGGGGAGGGAAGGAATGTGAATTATAGGAAAGCTGCCACAGCGACAGGGCTGAGTGCTGCTGGTTGAATGCAGGGTCAAGATCTCAGCTGCATGATGGTCACTGGAGAGCAGGGGCCAGACAATGGCCGAACTGGAACTGTCCTCAGCAGTTACTCCAATTAACGGTTGTAATAGTTGTTCCAGTGTATTCCACCATGTAGTAGTGTTGTCCCGAATGCGGGCTCGTTGCCTGGTGTGCAATGCCGATTTACACATCGAGACAAGGTATTTCCATTTCTTTATTCTAGTTTGCGCAAAGTAGGGAGCTAAGTGGTAGCCCACAAAAGACTAACTCCCCGATTATCAAAACCTTTCACTATTTATAGTCTCTGTCAAATGGTCTTCTCGCCTCTAATGCTAATTAGTTCGCATGCTCAGTCTTCCTCTGCTTTTGGGTTGGAGGGTTTCTTGAGTCGGTGGTTGTGATCTCCCCCTGCCGGAATTACCTTTTCTTCACCTTTAGCTTCATGTTTCAACCGCTGCTGCTCAGTTCCTGCTGCTGCCTTGGTAAATTGGTTATTTCAGGCTTTGATCGCCACCATCCCTTCTTTGAGGTTTTGCTTAACAGAGATTTCACTTAGCAAAACAGATTATTGTGTCACAGTTTCCTTAGATCCCACGTTAAATATTCACTTCAAATGACCCTGAATACTTAACAAAAGTATTGGGCAAAATAATTGTGCATTAACCAACGACAGCCTCCTGCAAACTTGCATCAGTAGTACAAGCTGTTCTGAAACCACATGGCTAATATTAAGTTTGTATCTGTGTCACTGTAGCATTTCTTGGAGAGATAATCAGTAAGGAATAACCTTGAAGAGACTATTATGGCTCTTGCTGCTGTGCATTTTTTACTGAAGATCCCAAGCACTATGTCCCTGCGGGCTCCCCTGAGAAGGTATCTCCAACTTTGCAGCCGGTGCTACCCGGTTCACGCCTCTTTGAGTTATGAAGCCATAAAACAACAGTACAGACCAGAGGTGCCAGAGTACTTC